GAAAAAATAAAGGAAGGAAGAAATAATGTAGAAGCATTTTATGCATAGGAAGAAAATTAGTTTGAGAGATTGGCAAGGGGAGTGAACTTCCTTAATCAAACTGTAATGTTCTAGTAAAATAATAGCAACAATGTCAACTGATGATATGAAGGAGAGTTTTGAATTGAGAGGTGTAGTGTTGGCAATGGAATGCTAACAAATCCATTACGTTACATACGCACAAGTCGCACATATATGTATTAGTTACTAATTAATCGCAGCTCAAATCTCATCGTGCTCAAATCAAAGCAAACTAATATTCCATAGGTTGATAAAGTAAATCCTGTTACCAACTTTGTCATACCTCAAATCATCCCAAGAAATTAGACAACGACCTCCATCATATCAGGAAAAATAATAATAATGTAGAACGAAGCCTTGGGAAAAAAATGAAGTGTTTGTCCTTCGAGACGCAATTTGCTTTCACAACTTGGTCCTCCTATTCTCCTTTTGCTTCTAGGCCTAAAAAACTATTGGATAAAACCAATCTGCTAAAGAAATATCTCTGTCACTTTCAACGCCAGCATTTTCATTGCCCTTGCAAGCATGCTAGTCTATTAAACACTAGAAGCACGAAAAGTCTTTAGTCAAACCCAACCTCGGTGGGTCCCACATGCATTATTGACGCACGAAAAGTCTTTGGACAAAACCAACCTCGGTGGGTGGTAAAGACTTTGTCTTCTATTACGCGGGGCTGAGGAGAATTCATCTTCAACATGGACTTGCGATGCGTATCCTGAACAGTCTCTAGCCTTGGAACCACTGGACTAATTATCTTTCAATTCGCAGAGAAAGAGAGAAAGAGACAGAGAGAGAGGGAAGGAGGGACAGGGAGAACAAAAATGGCGGAAGCTGTCATCGGAAGCATTGCTGAACAGATCATTGCTAAGCTAATATCTATTATATAATATATATTATATATAATGAGAAAGTAAGATAGAAAGGAGCTTAATGATCGAGCTATATTCACTACAAAACTTCATTCCTTCCCACTTTCCTTAACATTAATTAGATATATTGCTTTATATATTTTTTTAAAATATATACATATATACATAGGTTTTGTAATTGGTATTTGTCATTTAAATATCTTTTTATTACCTATTATTATCGTGCACATATATTATCTTTAAGGGTTTTCTCTTTTTACAATAAATGGAGTGGGTGTCTCTATAAAGTTTTTGTAATTAGTATTCGTCATTTAAATTATTTTTCATTGTCCATTGTTATTATACATTAATATTATGTTTATGAGGGTTTTTTTTACTATGATTGAGGTAGGGTGCCTATATTAAGTTTCATGAAATAAATTGGGTGATTGGCCATTAATGAGGGACAATTAATAAATCAACATTTGATTTTTTATGTCTAGAGATTCAAAAGCGTCTGGTTTCTCTCTTCTAAAACGCAGAGGAGACTGACCAAAAAAAAACCAAAAAACGCAGAGGACGAGGGAGAAGATAGACGTGGTGCTGAACCAAGTTAAAAAAAGAAGAAGAAAAAGTGATGGTTAATAGTTAACTACGATCAAGTTAAGTTACTTTTTGACCATGTCAGTCACGTGGCAATTATTATGTTTCGTCTTCAGTCAACCTCATGCTTTAGATGGCAGTACGGCTTCATACACATAACCCTAGTACTATGCCTCAGTGAATAGCCGTGGGACCCAACTCCAGTGTAATTTGAAGACGTTGTCCAATCCGGCTTCGCCACGTACCAATAACATCTCCAAGTGAAATTTATACGAAATCTCAAATCACTTGGCCCTAATGCATTTTACTCTCTGCCTTTTTGTTTTGCTTCGCGTTGCCAAATATGTTTTTTTTACCCTTTTTATGGTTGCCTTTGGGAGAAAGGAGAAGTAAGGAAAAAGGACACACGTCAAATCGGAGGATCACAATACCGCCTGTAGTGAATTTCAATCTTTGCGCTCTCACAAGCCTCGACAAGATATCTAAGGGCTGTGTTAATAGATTTTTATCTATATATTTTAAATCTAATCTTGTCTTGGACATGTTTTTACATTTTTTTGTCGGTCAAATTTGTGCATGATTTCTTCAAAATCTTTTAATATTTGAATAATGTTTTAAAATTTTTGTTTTTACATTTTTTTTGTCGGTCAAATTAATGCATGATTTCTTCAAAATCTTTTAATATTTAAATAATGTTTTAAAACTTTTGTTTTTGCCTTTATAAAAAACATAAAAAGCAAGTCCAAAGAAAACTCCGATCATCATGATCATATTGTTTCGTTCTACTTTATTGTCTGTCATTTGTGAAACCAAATTATGTATTTGTATTATGTATATATATACGCGATAAACAGATAGCAAGTTAGAACGGAGCTTAATGGTTGAGCTATATCATTACAAAACTTCGTTACTTACCACTTTTCGTAACATTAATTAGACATATTACTTTAAAAAAAAGCAGAAAAAAACTTAATCATCGCATTTAATCTAAGATATTGTTTTTATAATAATACATCAACTTACCTTATCAATTAAATTGGATGTTATCTTTCATGAATATACATATATACATAGGTTTTGCAATTGGTATTTGTCATTTAAATATTTTGTATTATCAGTTATTATTGTACTCTTATATTATCTTTAAGAGGGTTTTTGGACAATAAATCAGGTGGGTGCCTATATTAAGTTTTATGTAATAATTTGGGGGGAGGAGGGGGGGTGGCCTGTTAATGAGTAACAATTGACCGATTAATATTTGATTTTTAATATCTGGAGTTCCAAAAGCGCCTGGTCTCCCTATCTCTAAAATCCAAAGGAGGAGGAATGAGACAGAAGTGGCGCAGAACCAAAACAAAAAAACCAAAAAATAAAAAATAAAAGCGCAAAGTGATGTTAATAGGTGACCATGGTGGAGTTAAGTTGCTTTCTGGCCATTTCAGTTATGTGTAGAAGTACGACTTTGTACACCGCTGAACCGGTCCCATCTGTTTTTGTACACACTGTCTACTCAATCTTCACCCTAAATTGTGATCTCGAGCCTCGGCTCCACCTTAAGGATACTTTTGCCGAGGACTTTGTATAATACTCATTGTGTGCGACTTTTTCGGTTTTTTTTTCTTTTATTAATTTGAATAATTGGTATATGCATGTCGTTCTTTCTTTTACTTAGATGTGAAAAGTGAGGGCATTCGTATAGCATAAGCCCACACAACTTTTTCACTTTCCCACCATGAAAAAAATTATAAAAAAAAATTATGTATATTACGATAAATTGTGCGAACTAAGTAGCGCCAAACACTCATTTAGCCAAAAAAAAAAAGTAGCGCCAAACACTTGTAGACAAAAAGTGAGGCTTACTTTAGTGAACAGTGCATAGGCAAGGTTGGTTTTGGGCTGCAACTTTAGCAACCAGTTGGTATTGTTTTTGTGAGAACTGTCGAATCACCGTCGCCACCCGCGGGTTGACAGGCTATGTTGCACCGACACCGACACGCGACACAATACGACACGACACGCGACACATCAATTCTCAAAAAATACCATTTTTCGACACGTTGGGACACGTATATTAAATATATATTTTTAATAATTAAATATGCCATAATGACCAAAAACAATTGGTTTATTATAACCCATAAAACCATTAAGTTCCAATAAAAAGATGAACTTGACGAGTTTAGGCTCCGTAAACTCATCCATCGAAAGAAGCACATTTACAAATTCAATTAGGGAAACAGAGTATATGCGATATGTAAACTTCTCCTCAAAATTCATGTTCTCATATCCCAATACATAAGAAAAAAAGACGCAGCCCAACGCAATTTCTTTTCCCCGTCCATCTGACCTCCCCATAAGAAAAAAAGACGCAGCCCCCCCCCCCCCCACCACTTTTTCCTTTTCCCCCAACCCACCCACACACGCCCCCTTCCCCGACTTCTCCCTTCTTCCCAGTTCCCAGCCACCACAATTTCTTTCGAAACATAGAGGTGTACCTGCAGCGACCGGCGAGCGCGAGCGGGAGAGGGAGCGGCGAGCGGCGAGCACGAGCGGGAGCGGGAGCGGGAGAGGGAGCGGCGAGCGGCGAGCACGAGCGGGAGCGGGAGCGGGAGAGGGAGCGGCGAGCGGCAAGCACGAGCATCGAGCACGACCGGCGAGCGGCGCGGAGGACGGGAGTTCGTCGGTCGAACAGAGAAGTAAAGAGGTAATCGTGTTTTAGCCCTAATTTGGAGGTCGACGCCATTTATTGTTCTCTGTTTTTATTTTTTTACAAATTTACTCTTCGGACACGCCGGACTCGCGTGTCGGAGGCGTGTCCGGAGAGTTGATTTCGTGTCGGAAATCCGGCACCGTGTTGACCTCGGAGGCGTGTCCACGCGTGTCGACGTGTCCGACACGCGTGTCGGTGTCGGACACCGACACGTTGGCCATTTTAACGTGTCGGTGCAACATAGTTGACCGGTTGGTCAGGATCTTTCGCTGAACCTTCCCGTGACTCTCTTGTTTTTCTAAAGCAAAACGACGACACACAGAGTCAAAAGGCATGAAAAGAAGAATGCACAAGAGAGACACCATACGTGGATGAACAGTAACATCGCAATAATTGAAGTGATTGTCTTGAAACGTATCGTCGGTAAGGTAAAAGGAGAATTACATCTTGTCGGAAGAGTTGCAAAGAAGAGTTTCCTCTCCTACCACATCCTCTATGAAATACAATGACTACTACAAGTCTTTCACATTTGACTTTTAATATGCAGTAGGTAAAATCTCCATTGTAATCTCATCTAATATAAATAATATTATGTTTGATAATAGACGTGATATTAAATGATTTCAATTGACCAAACGTATTGTATGATTGATTTTTCATTTTATATAATGGGCTATCTAATTTATTTACACAAAAGGAACTCTATGCTTCATGATGGTCCTTCCCTTTCGCTAATCGAGGGATTAGCCTTATAATGTTTGTTGTTAGAACTCAAATGTAACATTTTTATTAAGGGTGAGCAACCGGGTCGGTTCAATCCGGAACCGAACTGAACTTGCCCAACTCTACACTTGTTCACACGAGAACCGCTCAACTCTCATGTAAAAATTCTGGGAGCCAGCCTTAGGAAGAACCGGTTTGAAACAGTTCAGAACGATGCTAAATCTTTTATATCTAAGACCCTCACTACTTTCTTTTGGTTCTCACTCTCATCGCTAGCATCTCTCTTAGACTCTCTAGTCTCTCAACTTTCCCCAGCAGTGCCCTCGATTTCTCTCTTTCTGGAGTCTTGCCGACGCTGTCTCATCTCATTTCTCTCTCTTGGTCTTGCCGACACCGTCTCCTGTCCTCCTCTCTTGATCTCGCCGGTTGTGGCCTCGCCTTTGTCGGTCAGCCGTCGATCAGCCCACTATTAGCCAGGTTCGTTCTTTCTCATAGCAACTAATCAGAGAGCTTTTCTGAAGATGAATAGCCTGATGAAACAAAGATGCTTAGGGAAACTATCCACGTCTTTTATTTGGATTTAGAGATCTGACTTATATGGTGAAACATGGCCCTCAAGATCTGCATATTTAGGCTATTTAGCCTTTTCCAAATTAGGCACATAAAAACACATAACATGTCCCGATTTCCAAAAATTCTAAATAGAGTTCAAAAGGGAAGATTAGCCAACTTCAAGAGCTGTTTTACCTTTCTACGTATGAAAATTTAAAGTTGAAAGACATCCTCATCAGCTTGCTTTTATTAGCCCCCCGCTCATTGGGACTTCAGTACCAAAGTATAATTTCTTTTTTGCACAGAAAAGGTTTCATACTCCTTCATTCACGATGATACTTAGTAATCTTTTTCTTTCTTTTTTATTCGGGCAAAAGCAGAGATTCATGAAGATAAATTTTCTTTACCACTTGAAGTTAGATGTTGAAGTTGCCCAGACAGCTATAATAATTTTCCATCCTTTTCAAGATCCAAATCTTATTACACTTAATACTCGATGTCTCTGGTAAACAAGTTGGGCATACACGTGAACGTGCACTGTCTTCTATGGAAAGCTTGTGATGAAACTAGGAAAAATGGGCATCATCAGAAAAAAGCTAGGCTTTGTTCTTTAGCCCCCTTCAGGCGAAATTTTTATTTGCATCTGCTGAGAAAAATAAACTTTAATTTTCATTTTCTGGACCACGTGGGAGGGTTAACTATGGTTTGCCAATACCTAACATTTTTTTTTAATTAAACAGGGTTGGCGGTAATTACTTTTTATAAGGCAAACACTTACTCATCCCATGAATAAGTTACAAACCACATGTTATATAAGATTTACTATTACATCGCAAAAACCATCGATTTTGTTCAAAGTTGTCTTTATATATATATGGGACGATAAGAATCAACCTAGAAAGGTTGCCTTTTATATAAAACGTTAGTAATCATGAAAACAGGTCAGTACTTTTTCATTAGCTGAAAGCCGAATTTCTTGTAGAAAGTTACTAATCACATGAAATTTTGTTAGTTACTTACATACTTACAAGTCACATAATTTCTTTCGGAAATCCCAGTGAGAAAAGGAGGAATTAGAAGGAAATGAAATGACATAAAATTAACTTGGCATCCATAAATGTTGAACATGCAACTAATGTGAAAGGGGAGTTATGAGATCCATCAGCTAATCATTATTAGGTATGAATAGAATGTGCAACTCCATGCCATAGAGGAGCTCGAGCCATTAGATCGGACGATCAAGGTAATAGTGGTGGACGACCATGGGTCAATGAATGCCACCAAAGGTCTAGGCAGTAGTGGGCATCGATGGAGGACCATTGGAGGAGCTTTGGCCAAGCGATGGCGAGATGGATGACGATAAACAATTGTGAAGAAAAAAAAGAAAGAAAGAAAAGGAGAACATAAAAATAAATAAATAAATAAAAAGACGGCGTTGTTTTGTCCACGTGAAATCGCCAACCGTAACATGTAGGATGGCCAACAATAAGTGGACCACCACGTTACTAATTTCAGGTGATAATTAGTATGAAGTCACCAATTTCAAGTGATAATTAGTATGAAGGATTATATTGAAATTTTACGTAAAGATTTATGACTATATTGATAAAATTGAAAAGTGTAAGACTTGTTAGAATCCGTAAAAATGGTTTGTGACTAAATTTCGTAATTTTCCCTAGAAGTCTCTAGCCTTCGAACCGACTAGATTAATATCTTCCGATGCACAGAGAAGACAAACAAAGAGAGAGAACAAAAATGGCTAAGCTGTCATCATCGCATTGCTTTGGAGAGATCATTACTAATCGATTACTCAATCACTAGATAAGGTTGGAAAGTTATGGGGCATCAAGCATGAACTCGAGGTGCTCGAGGACACGTCTCCACTCTTCTAGCCGTATTGGACGATGCGGAGGAGCAATCCAACCAAAGTCGCCAAATCCGAGTTTGGCTTGAGAAATTGAAAGAAGCATTCTATGATGCGCAAGATGTGCTTGAAGAATTCAATATTGAAGCTACACGACGAGAATTGAGGGACCACAATGCAATGATCAAGGAGGTAAAGGCATTTTTCTCAAGTTCAAACCAGCTTGCTTTTAAATTGAAGATGAGTTACAAAATAAGAGTAGTGAGGGAGAGAATAGAAGTCATTAATGCTCGGTAGGAGATTCCACTTACCGAGCGCTCCGTGGATTCGCGAGTAGAGAGAGAGTGGCGGAAGAGAGAAGAGACACATTCGTTTATACGTGAGGGAGATATTAGAGGGAGAGATGATGATAAGAAGACGATCATAGAATTCTTATTGGATTCAAACGTGAATGAGAATGTTTCCATCCTTCCGATAGTTGGTATTGGTGGGCTTGGAAAAACAGCTCTTGCTCAATGTGTGTATAATGATGAGATGGTCAGTAAACAATTTAACTTGAAAATGTGGGTTTGTGTCTCTAATGAATTTGACACGAAAAATATAGTGAAAAATATCATTGCTTGTGCAAAGGAGAAAGAACCAACCGAGGTTTCGATGGAACGGTTGCAAAGTGAACTGAGGACCACAATTGATGGAAAGAGATATCTCTTAGTTTTAGATGATTTGTGGAATGAGGAAGGAGAAAGATGGTCAAGCCTGAAAACTTTATTGGTTGGAGGAGCTAAAGGAAGCAAGATCCTTATAACTACACGCCTTCCTTCGGTTGCGAAGATCACCGGCACTGCTCCGCCTCATCTTCTTGGGGGCTTATCCGAAAGTATGTCTTTTGATTTACTAATGCACATGGCTTGTTGTAAAGAAGAGGAATTACAAGATCCTGACATGCGAGCTATTGGTAAAGATATAGTTAGAAAGTGCTCTGGGGTTCCGTTGGTTGTTCGAACTGTTGGGAGTTTACTCTCTAAGAAAAGTAAGCACGAATGGTTGAAATTCAAAGAAAATGAGCTCCCAGATGTGTCTCAAAGGGAAGACAACATAAAATTAGTTCTTAAGCTTAGTTATGACCATCTTCCTTCACATTTGAAACAATGTTTCGTGTTTTGTTCATTGTTTCCCAAAGATTATGAGATAAAGAAGCGGACTTTGGTCAATCTTTGGATGGCAGGAGGATTTATCCAGCCATCAAATAGAAGTCAGCATTTAGAAGACATTGCTCATGGATATTTCATGGATCTACTTTGGAGCAACTTCTTCCAAGATTTTAAAAAAGAACCTTTCACGAACGAGGGGACTTGCAAGATGCACGATTTGATGCATGATCTAGCTTGCTTAGTTGCGGGGACCGAGTATTGGGTGGCATTGGACGACACAAAATCCATACATGAAAGAGCTCGTCATTTATCTCCTCGTTTAAATTCCAATATTATGGGTGAACTTCCAATCTCACGCTTGAAAGCAAGTCCCCGAGAACATTTCTGTCTGTCGCTAGATATCGGGAAATTGGATCAAGAGGACCAACAAGTGAAGCAGATCTACGCCTACTCATTCAAAGTTTCAAAAAGTTACGCATATTGGGTCTGTATTACACATATGTCGGGAAGGTGCCAAGGTCCATTGGTAAGTTGAAGCATCTCACGTATCTCGATCTCTCTTACAATTTAGAACTCGAAAGGCTTCCTAACTCCATTACGAGATTGCAGAATTTGCAGACACTTAATCTCAAGGGTTGTCAATTCCTTAAAGAATTGCCGAAGGATATAAGGAAGTTAGTCAACCTTCGAAATCTAGACATAGATGGTTGTCGTGAACTTGGATATATGCCACGCGGACTAGGGCAATTGAGTTCTCTGCATAGGCTAACACGCTTCATTTTGCCCAAAGATAAAGCTCTTGCTAAGGATTGTTGTGAACTTGAGGAGCTAAATGGACTTAATGACATCCGAGGAAGCCTTAGCATTGAAAATTTGGGAAGCGTGACGGATGTGGTAGCGAGAATCCAAGGCGGCGAACTTGATAGGAAAGCATTCTCTGGAATCATTGCAACTTAAATGGGGGATTTCGATACCGATAATGCGATGTCGGGAATAGAGATGAAGCGCTGTTAGGTGGACCGCAGCCGCACTCAAATCTGCAGAAGTTGACGATCTGGGAATATAAAGGTGAGAGCTTTCCAAAGTGGATGACGGAAAACCTTACGGCTTCCTTGCCAAATTTAGTCGAGGTATGCATCTTCTCTTGCGGAAGATGTAAACGTCTACCTCCACTAGGCCAACTACCTCGCCTCAAGACTTTATCGATTGGGAGTCTGCCTGAATTGGAAGACATCGAGCCAAGCCATTCATCCACTTCAACACCACCATTTCCTAGCCTATTGGAATTAGAGATCAATGGCTGTACGAAATTGAAAGCCATGCCACAAACTCCACGTCTTGAGAAATTGGCGCTGGTTGCGTCCAACCCAGCATTGATAAATATGATATTTGAGCTCAATAAGTTGAAGAGCCTGGAAATCAGCGATACGGAGCATCCAGAATGTTTGCTTGAGGAGTGTTTGAAAAGCCTCACCTCCCTCGAATCTCTTCACATCATTAGATGTCATCGGTTAACTTCCTCTCTCCTGCAGCATTTATCGAACCTCGTGCATCTCTATATTTGGGATTGTGAGGAGTTGGATTTATGCAAAGACGAAAGCGGCAACATCAACAACGACTTGGATTTTCATGGAGGACTTGAATCTCCGCTCCGTGGATCTCGGTCTCCTTCCAAAACCGGCGTCTCTCCGCGGTGGCTTCTACGGGTCCGCAATGTCGAGCGCCTCCATATTGGCAGGTGCGACAATTTCAAGGATTTACAAGAGCTCGAGGCCCTCCAATCACTTCAGCGGCTCACAATCCTCGCGTGCCCCTCGCTGACGTCATTACTCGAAGGAATGCGAAGGCTCGCATCCCTTACTTACCTGGGTATCTTCGATTGCCCAGAATTGGAGAGAGGAGGTGCAAGAGAGATGGAGGCGAGGACTGGGACAAGATCGCTCATATCCCCGCATACAACTCGGATGAGGGTTGATCGACCCCTAATTTTCTTTGCTGAAGGTATGTATGTGGGGGGCACCTTGTTTCCCCAGGTTTTTTACTTGAAGAACAAGTCTCGAATCGTGTGTTTCGAATTGCGTGTTTCGATTAATTGATTCGATCGGGAACACGAATTAACCCTTGGATGAAAAACCAGCACGATTTTGCAGGCACGGGTTGGCTCTCGCTTGCTTCCGGACACGAGAGGGAGAGAGGAGGTCATCGCGCGACCAATACTCTACTAGGATCATCTTCATCGACGAAGTAGTCGATGAAATCACTCTCATCCTGGCATGTTTTGATGACGGAACCGTCGTCGTTCACGGCCTCAAGGCTTCATCGTGCTACAATGTCTCATTCCTCCTCCCGCTTGCAATGTGTTCTGTTTTTGAACTGATCACCAAATGTTCGTTAAAATGCCCGAACGAAATCGGAATACAATTTTGAGAAGCATTCTTATGCTTTAGTGTCTGGAATGATCGTTGTGTAATATATACATGTTTGACTCACTTACAGCGTCTCTATTTCCAGTGATTTTAGACTGTGGCCGAGATCTCCATATGCCATGACTACTTCATTTGTTGTTCAAATCCATCCATATATGTTGTCTCTGCTTTTGATATTCTGCCAGGTATTGATTCATGTTAATCAAATATCTAGATGAGCAAAGCATGTCAACTTACGCCGCAAGTAATGTATACCCAAGGGGAATCGTGAGTTCGTTTCGGCTTCTGACGAATTATATTCACTTCACTGGGTCGAGATTATGCTTGCTGGTTGTTTGTTCTCTTGCTCGGCTGATTGGTGTTCTGGTCTTACTTTGGTATTGCTATAACGATGCTTTGATAATTTTGCGCATCCGAATTTGATTACAATCGTGAATTTCCTTTGAGCTGTCATTTGGGCTAATTGAGGATTTCTCAATTGCACTGATTGCTATTTGTCATAGTGGCCAGGGAAGCTTTCATATTGATATGATAGGATAGCAAATTTCTCAAGAAACAGATGCTCCTATTGGCATGCATTATAATGTGATTTTGTCCGGAAATAATATGAAGGTAGAACCGTTTGAGGTGCAAAATACATGGACTGGTGAATTCTGACCGGGGTAAAGAGGAGTGATGTCTTACTCTTGAATCGATTGAGAGCCTAGAAGGTCATCCCTTAGATGGATTACTTCTTTGCCATGAACTAACATTAAAAAGTATGAGGAAAGAATAAAAACAGAGTGCAATGAGGTGTTTGGTGAGTGCTTTTGCATATATGTGTGTAAATGAGTGAAGATTAGAGAAGTGTGTATTTTTAGGTAAATCTTCACAGCGCCATGCTAACATCTTCTCTGTTTAGTATTCATGCTTTGACATCGTAAAAATATCAGTCCTCGTTTTATAGGTGGTGAATTGGTCGTTGTCCATTCTTGCACACAAGTCCTATACGAAACTAAATCAATACCGAATTATGTTTGCCAAAATTCGAGTATAACGGTGTTGATTCTGCTGGTCATATGCTTATTGTTGGATTAAACTTGTTATATACTCTTCTTGTTGGATTAGATTTGTCATCTTTCTTTGCTAGTGCTTAAAATGTTTTGTTTACTGGACATGTCTCACTTGTGAATGAACAATGGTGTGTGCTGAAATCCGCTGAACATGCTGCCGAGAGCTTGTCTCTTAAAATAGAAGCTCACTGACTGCGCTTGACAAGGCCACAATCATAACTATGGACTCTCTATCCTTCTGTCAGCATTTCATTGTCTTCATTACATGTGCTTCTTCTTTCTGTCCGTCATTCACATTTTTGTTATTGCTCTGTTTCAGGGCCCCGCAAGGACGGAGTTGAAGTTGTACGGCACTGGGTGAAACTCCTGCTCTTTCCGAATCCGCATTGCTCTCAACTTGAAGGGTTTGAGTACGGGTATATGCATGTAAATTTGGTAAGGAAAGATCAATTCAGTAAAGGTGAATCCTTCCTTGCCTGCTCTCTCTTTTTTTTGTTTTCATCTTGCTCTCCAGAGTCGGTATTATGTTGTGATCGTATTTGGAAAGCTTGAGGCCTTGAATATTTTAATTCCCCAAAAAAATTTGTAGTAGCTGCAGTTCTTTGGGGAATTATTGCTTGCTTAGGGGAATTGGTGTCTTGCGATTTGTGAAACCAAGTTTTTAGCAGGCTATGCTTAACATTTGCTTTTCTTCAGTCCTTCTACCAAAACCCCTCCGGCGTGTGATGAAGCTATATCAATACAATCTCTTACCTCAGCATTTTTATGGATAGCCAGGGATTAAACCAAAGTTTTGATTTGATATTAAATCATAATTGGAGTGTGTGTTTTGTGTACTGTTTTGCAACCTGGACGGTTTATTCATGTAGCTGATACTTGCATATACTTTTCATAAAATGAGTGGGCAATGAATGGGTGTTAAGAATACATGTCAATTTCGAAAGAAATAGAACCGTTGTCCTGTTTGTATCATGCTGGAATGGAATTTGGACTTGCTGGCTTATATGATTGGGGTTCAATTTCGGCATGTTGTGATGTCATTTTTATCATGTGAACATGTATGATGATTTAGGAGAATGTTATGGTGAATTGGTGATAATTTTTATCAACAAATAACCATGTTGCTGTGCCTTGAACTTGCTGGATATGGGCTGTCATCACCATTCCTTTGGGTCACTCTCTTTGGAGTGTAGATTGAATTGATCTGAAGCCCATCCCAGTGTTGTTCTTATTACCCGTGATGTGGTGTTTGTATGTTGATGATTTCTTAATCATTGGGCATGGTTGTTGCCAATTGCTTTGATTGAGGTGATGCTGAAATTCATGGAGTATCTCAGTGAAGATTTGATTCAGAGGAAGGACCCAGAATAAGAGAAGAAAACGAAAAAAATAAAAAAAATAAAATAAAATTCTGAAAATAAAAATTAGAAATTGTTAGAAAAAAAAATAGGCATTGATTAGGTTGTTAGATTTTAGTATTAGAATTAGTTTAGTCTTGGAAGATTAATCCTTCAAAAAAGAAATTGAACTCAATTTGTACTAAAATCATGGAGGTTGTTGTCCTGGGGCTTAACAACAAGGTCATGTTATATTCATTGTTCGACTCGTATCGGTTTACTTTACTGCACTTTATATTTTACTCGTTCCTTCATTACTTTCTTAGATCAATTAATTATGATTCTTGTATAATGTTTTCCTATGTTTTATTTTGCTTGCTTTAGCTAAGTGGTTAAGTTACAATCATAATAAACACCAAAAACATTGTATGAACACTTAGCGGACGAAAACCTTAGGACTCATAATTGGATAAAAAGATTGCATGAACACTTTAGCGGACAAATAATCAAGTTTAGATACCAAAAAAGCACTAATTAGATAACTAGTGTAATCAAGTCATCGACCCTAAATCTTTGGTTGCGTAGGAAGTGAGATATACTCTCGTACCTCACTTGGTTTCTAGCAGAACCCAATATGCTAGCGGCAAATCCAGTTTCACATAGAATATTCATAAGCTAAATCAAACTTAAAATGAAATGCAACCTTGTGCAAGGTAAGGGCTTGGGAGAGCCAGCGCCTAATCAAGGGCCGTTGGCCCGCCTTTTGGGCATTATCTCTAAATTAGTCTTTTCCCCAACCGCATCGCGGAAAAAGCTGTCGTGACAATGTGATGATAGAATGTGCATTTTTTGGAGAAATTAACAGAATCATACGTTAGTGAAGAGAAACAGCTCGAAAGGTACTATGAGGAACAGTACATGCAAACCCTTGTATCAAATACACATTTTTCGTAGTTCCCATTTGAGTAGTTGATGGGATTGGAATCTAGTGTAGGGGAGAAATGGCTTTGATTCAGGTGATTCGTTCAAGTCTTGGCTTCTCTTCTCCTGCTATGGAGCTCGGCTTGCTCTGTTTTT